ATTATCATTGCTATCTCTGTAAACATCTCCGTTTCTGTTCTAGAAGTTTGGCATTTCTTTCATCACAAGAAAAACAAATGAACAAGCTTTAAAATGTTAACAATAACTCTATTATCCCACAATTTACGAGCACCCTATTCTTTTTCGTCATGACACGTTTTGGCATTATATAAGATCTGTAGTGCTCATTTATTTCGACTACTCATTGCCAAGGCAAAGCCACTCTTGTAACTAATACAGGGAAATAAAGAGGTCAAACAATGTTTTACTGACACAATTTACTGAAAAACAATCCCAATAGACGAAAGCCACATTGACATTAAGCAGTCGAATTTTATTTCATTTGCCCGGGGCATTTTCCGAGATTTTCAAAATGTAAGCGTTCACTTCGCACAAGAACCTTACTGACCAAGATGAAGAGTATTTCAGACAGGCATCGTCAAACATTTTCTTCGTGCCTGTAGATAAATACAAACAGTTTTCTATTGCTCCACCATTTGGCTGTGGGTCATCCCACACACATGACGTCATATTGCCACCAGAAGTGAGAAATGTCCACCTCCCTTCATGACCCTCGTCTGTAGCACCCAACATGACGCCAGTAGAAACAGAACCTGACACAGAAGAGTTGGAGAAGTCCGCAAGGTGCTGGAACTCTTGCTTGTCGTTGATCTCCGCCAAATACCCGCCATAGAGCCGGCACAGACGATTGGCTTCATGTACGTTAACCAGTATTGGTTTAGAGAGTAAGTAGTTGTGGCCGCGATAGCTAGTGGTTGTGGAAATTATGGCGTCTTTGGAGTTTTCCACACGAGTTCTGAGGTCGTTCAGTTTGGAGTTCATTTCTTGTTCCCTCGCTTCTATTGCTTTTATCTTTGCGTCTGTTTTGTTCTCCTTGACATCTACTGCATTTATCTTTGAATCCAGTTCTTTGTCCTTTGCTTCTACTGCGTCTATCTTTGAATCCAGTTCCTTGCCCTTTGTGTCGAGTTCTTGTATCTTTGTATCCATTTCCTTTAACTTGTCAAGAACCATGTCAAAGCCGATTCTAAGAAAAAAAGGAAGTTTATTTGCTTAATCCAATATCAGAATAATTTTTCATTCATATTATGGTAGTTCCGTGTACAGGGTGATCCAAAAAAACCCCAAACAAAACAAATTTACAACTTTTTTGTGAATGTATTTCTCCACACTAAAGCTGTGTGTTTAAGATTTATACACACCATTTAGAAGTCAAAAGGAAATCGGCTGATGTTCATTTTAAGATAAAGCCACAAAATAGTTTTGCTCTACATATCACTTAAAAAGCAACCCATTTTCAGCTAGGTCCTCATTTTTGCAGCATGACGCTATAGCTCAAATTTGGCGTACCATTAAAAGTCCTAACGATTGCGCCATATTGCAAGGTACAATAGTATAAAAAAGCAACAGAATATTGCTATTCTGAGGTTACTTTTCCTGTTGAGATCATGGTTAAGATTAATAAAGAACAGAGAAATTTTTGTATTGGAAATGATTTCGCCAACAACTAGTTTCGGAAGTTTCCCACACGGTACGGAAGAAAGGTTAAATTACCCTTAAGACCTTTTGAGGCTATGGGTGGTGAATAAACGATGAAATGGTATAGATTTAACACCCTTATCAACACTGTTAGGTTATTTAAGAGGCGGGACCTCCTAGTTTAACGTCCGTCTCTTATAGGACCGGCAATGGGTGGAAATGTTCCATCAGTTAGGACCTGTAGAGAATCAGAACTAAAATTTCCCAGACAAAATGAAGTCTTCAGGTCACACGCTCACACGCGCGCACACACACATACACACACATACACACACACACACACACACACACACACACACACACACACACACACACACACACACACACAATATTCGCACTCCTTTAAACGTCACCAATGTGCAGAATTTAGTAGATGAGTCCCATGAGACCTCTGTCCTTTGATGTTGTCTGCCGCTAGGAATTTCCTATATCTCAAAGGTCCACATTCTCAACGCAGATCTTCATCAACGACTGTACCATTTTCCTGCTCTCGAATTTGATATGGATCAAAGGAGAGCAATATTAAGTTTATGATTTCTCGATCGTCTTTAAAAAAGTTAACATTTCCTCGATGTCATTTGGTTCATTGGCAAAGCCCATACCTGTATTCACATGTATGTTAACTCCACAAATATTGTCTATTGGGCAACCCCATCCATGCACAATATTGGGTCTAGAAACAGCCCCATACTGTAAGGTGTGCATGTGTCTTCAGTACTCATTGTTCGGTAGGTCCTTAGGTGTTTGGCCATCACTGAACAGTACGAACGACGCGGTAGAATATGTCGAGTTCAAAGGAGGACATAATAGAGCACTGGTTTTAGGAATTCCAGAATTTCACAAATATTTGTTAACTCTCTAAGAGAAAAAGATATTTTGTTCATATATTACAGGGATGGAAACATTTAAAAATAGATAAAAACGCACAAACTAAAACAGTTATTTCATGACTTTCCTTACAACATATTTTAAATTGGTGCATTTTTGCGTTGATGGGTTTGTTTTTTTAAAGACATTTTTGTTTTCAAATATTAGTTTTCCTCACGAATTTTAAGTCAAATAAATTCCTTTTGAATGAATTATATGATCTGTTCCTACGTACAGCATTCTATAGATCTAGTACATAGGATGTAAAGTTTAATAATCATTTTGGATCACCCTATACTTGAAACATTGTTTTTAACATTTAGACTAGAAATCGTGTTTGTAGACCAGGAAAAAGCATTTGATAGAGTAGATAGAAATAAACTGTGGCAAACACTTGAAGAGTACAGCATCAGGAGACAACTGTTGGACAACATCAGAGCCATCTACACCAACAGTATGAGCACAGTCCGCACCAAAAACGGATTCACAGACTGGTTTGACGAGTCATCTAAAGTGAGACAAGGGTGTGTGTTATCACCGCTACTATTCATAATATACATGGACAAACTTATAAAAGAAGCAAACCCCAACACGATAGACCTGAATGAGATGCAGTTTGCGGACGATCAAAGCCTGGCATATAAGAAAGAAGAGCAACTTCAAGAGCTCACAGACAGGCTGAATACACAATGTGAAAAACTCAACATGAAGATCAGTAAAAGCAAAAGAGAGACGATGAAAATCAGCAGAACACGTGGCAACCTTAGCGTCACCATCGATGGAAATCCGCTGAAACAAGTCAGCGAGTTGAAATATCTTGGTAGCATCTTTTCAGAAGACGGACGTCTCAACAGAGAAATTGAGACGAGAGTACAAAAGGCTAACAGCGTCAGCTACCAGCTTGCCCCACTCTTCAAACATCCTAACATCCCCATTGAGACCAAAGTCAAGCTCATTAACTCTATCGCCATCCCTACCTTGACCTACCAGTGCCAGACATGGACCCAGACAAAAAGTCTGGAACGTAACATAACCACCTGCGAAATGAGATGTCTAAGGGGAGCCGTCAATAAAACCAGACGGGACATGGTCAGAAACAACAAGATCAGAGAAATGGTGGGAACATCACCTGTCCTCCACTACATCCGAAGGCAAACAATCAGGTGGTTTGGACATCTCACACGTATGGCACCTAACCAGCTTGCCAGTAAAGCCTACTACAGGAAAGTATCAGGGTACAAAGCAAGAGGAAGACCAAGAAAAACCTGGAGCAAGGGTGTGAACATTCAATATCCCACCCAGCCAGGCCATCAAACTTGTTAGAGACAGGAAGCTCTTTATCCCCTTGACGCCCTAGAGGTACAAGAGGACGGATAAAGTAAATAAGTAAAGACTAGAAATTAGTTCCTTATAATATATTTATTTCCTTCTTATAAAGAAAGTCCAAAACAAGTTTTCTTTGAAATATTATCTTGAGTACGAGTAAAAGAAAAACGTTAAACATTATCGATTTCTGGACTTTGGTCGTTTGTCGTCATCATTGTTATCGTCGTCGTCGTTGTCGTTTTTGTTCTTGGTGTTGTTGTTGTTATTATTATTGTTGGTGGTGTTATTGTTTTTGTTGTTATTGTTGTTGTTGTTGTTGTTGTTATTGTTGTTGTTGCTGGTGTTGTTGTTCATGCTGCCGTAGCAACAATGAATTATTCTAGTGCTCTTTCGAATCGTCTTGTCGTTTTTGTCAACCTTAGAATTACACAGTTCTGACAGTAGTAACAGTACTATTGAGCAGAGAAAGCAGAAGAAGAAGAAGAAGAAGAAGAAGAAGAAGAAGAAGAAGAAGAAGAAGAAGAACAAGAAGAAGAAGAAGAACTACAACAACAACAGCAACAACAACAACAACAACAACAACAACAACAACAACATCAAATACCGTCTATATAACATCCTATAAGAACCTACGGTATTTCTTCTACCACTGTGTCGGCCCAGACAGACAGCGGGTGACCACCATTGTCCATTCCGTTAGCCTGACACCTGTACTTTCCTTCTACCTGGTGTGTTGGGTGTGTCCACTGGACGGGAAGGGGGGGGGGGACGGAAGAGAAAATACGGGCAGAAAAGCAGGGAAATCAAGTAAAGTTGGAACTGAAAAGTCTAAACCATATCGTTCACTATATGCAGTTGAGATAGATAGATAAATAGATAGATAGATAGATAGATAGATAGATAGATAGATAGATAGATAGATAGATAGAGAGTTTGTGTGAAAGAGAGAGAGAGAGGGAGAGAGAGAGAGTGAGAGAGAGAGACAGTGAGAGAGAGAGAACGAGAGAGAGAGAGAATGAGAAAGCGAAAGAACGAGAGAGATTGAGAAAGAGAGAGAGAGGGGGAAAGAGAGAGAGAGAGAGAGAGAGAGAGAGAGAGAGAGAGAGAGAGAGAGAGAGAGAGACAGAGAGAGAGGGGGGGAGGGGGGACGAGACATTAATGCACGGATTTGAGGGGGAGCCGGTATTGAAAAACCTTTGCGTCAAACATGGGTAAACTGCCGTCTCTTATGTCTATATAGTGAGCCTGACGTATGTACATGCAGTTGTCTTCTACTTAGCTGAATGAGTATATCCATTTGGGGGGGGGGGGGGAGGGGACAAAATATCCGCAGGAATAGGTGGAAAAGTATAGGAATTAGTAGAAACCTTTATGAAGTTTGTTTGTTTTGTTTGTTTGAGTGAAAGGAAGCGCATTGACTGAATAATGGTAATTAAATGCTGGAAAACAGTATGACATATTATACAGAAACAATTGTTTTCCGGAAACAGAAACACTTCAGAAAATATTGACGGACAATCCATGTACTGTACCTCTAGAGCGATGAAGGAATAAGCATCAACTCTGTGGTGACCAGTCACTTGTGCTCCCATCGTGTCTTTTGCGTCCACTTTATCGTTCGAAAACGCCGTAATGGAAGCAACTTCTCTGAAAGAGAGACAGTATAGTATACTTATTACGGAAATACTGTTGAGGACCAATCGCTTTTGTTTGTTTAGATTTCGTAAGAGTTTCGTTGCGGCATTGCAATAGATTAGGTAATCTATGTGCCGACGATTAGAGAATGTATGAGAACGTAACAGTTATTTGGAAGAGTTATGTGGACGATAGATGTCTGATCAGAAAGAAGGAGCAAACCACACCAGAGCACCCGCTAACCACCCACAATACTAAACTTAGACCTGGGGCCCTATTGAAAAGGAGGAACGTTCACTTCGGGCCTAGTGGTTAGGCTACCGGACTCGTAATCGTGAGTGTTTTAGCTCCTATAAATAGCTGCTTGCACTGTATGCTTCCCAGGAAGTTGAGTTAGTTTCTGAAATGCTTTCAGATCTGATGGGGTAATAGTATAGATTGTGAAGAGCATAGAGCTTGCTGTTGAGCGTGACTATGCGCTATACAAATGCTATCTTTATTAACAATTCAACATTCTATTAATTGTTTTTAAGCATCCTTCGATACCTCAGTTTTTAATTGGTCAACCGAGGTTGAGAGGGAAACAACGTTCTAGCAGAAAGATCGTATCCTCAAACGGGATTCACACTCAGGTTTTCTTTATGAGACGGCGAAATGCCTTCTTGTAACATCACAGATATCGCCGGTGATGGTGATTCTTTTGCTGTTGTTGTTGTTGTTGTTGTTGTTGTTGTTGTTATTGTTGTTGTTCTGTTGTTTTTGTTGTTGTTGTTGTTGCTGTTGTTGCTGTTGTTGTTGTTGTTGTTGTTGTTATTATTATTATTATTGTTGCAGCTGCAACTGCTACTAATGATGATGATGATTATGATGATGATGATGATTATAGTGTTATACTGATGAAGACCAAAAAGCCAGACCTTCAAAAATAATATGCTTTATAAAGTAAAATTTCAAATACGCAAGTCTTCTTTTACCTTCTAATACTAACAACAATGATCGTGATGATGATGATGATGATGATGATGATGATGATGATGATGATGATGATGATGAGTCGTCATCAGAATACATTAAATATAAAATACCATCATTTTAATTGGGCAATACCTGTACAGCATGGGTATTTGATTGTGAAAGGTGTTTTTCGAGTTGAGATATAAACACAGAGAATAACATTGTGCTATGTATGCTGCTTTGTTTGACACCTGATGTGCATTGGAAGGATTCAGATATATAACATTCCATGGATCTTCGTTCTTCTATGCAGACTTTAACAGACGAAACAACACTTTGATACATATTTTTTCAAAATAGCATATATTGGTCCAGAACAGCTAGGACTTCGTAATACTGTCCTAACGCTCGCTTTTCTCTGTCAACCCAATCAAACGCTTCTAAAAAGTCAAAAAAACATACATAGAATCTTGTGCCAGGTTTGGAGATACATTTTTGGACTAAAGATTGGAGCGAAAATATATTATCTATGGTAGAATAGTTTCGTCTAAAACAGGCCTGGGGTTCAGGGATGAGGTTACCTTCATCACACCATTGTTGTATTCTTTTATTCACTATGATTTGAAACAATTTATCAAGAACATTTAGTAAACTGCAGGAACTAGAAGGAAATGTACTAGAAGACGTTGAATCCTTCTGCTATCTTGGAAGTAAAATTGACACAGAGAGGGAGTAACAGGTGCTGAAATAAAGTCCCGCATTGGAAAAGCACAGGCAGCTTTTATCTTTAGATAGGATTTGGAAGACCAGAGGTATCTCACTTCGAACAAAGCTGAGGATTTTCAATTCAAATGTGAAATCAGTCCTGTTGTATGGATATGAGACATAGAAGGCATCACAGACTTGCATAGAGAAGATCCAGGTTTTTTTGAACAAGTGTCTAAAACAGTTACCGAGGAATAGATGGACAGACATGGTCATCAACGAGGAAGTGTCAAGGAAAACAAAACAGGTCCCAGTCAGAGATGAGGTAGGAAGAAAACGGTGGCAATGGATTGGACATACTTTCAGAAGGTCAGGCAATGTATCTGTTTTAGGAAAGCAATTGTTTCTGTATTTGTCTTACTTTTTTAAAGCACAAAATTACATTTATTTAGTCTATGCGCTTCCCTTTCCACATGGTAAAAGATCAAGGGGAAGATCGCGTGCAACATGGAAAAGAATTACTGAAATTGATGTGAATTAAGGTGGAAAGACATGGAATAGCATCAAGAGGTTAGCCCAGGATAGAGAAAATTGGAAAGTAATTGTCCCATGTCTATACCCTGGTGCAGGGTGAGAAAGGCAATGGTGATGATGATGCTGATGATTCAGTAAACTAATGCCCCTATAATTATTTACACCATTTACGTTTTCTTTTTTTTGGTTCAAATTTAACATCATGTCAAGTCTGTGCTCCTCTACGGCTGCGAAACTTTTTAAGACAACAAAGACAGTACTGAATAAAGTCCAGACTTTTATGAACAAATGTTTGAGAAATATCCTAAGAATTAGGTGGTATGATAAAATAAGAAATGAAGAGCTGTGGGAAAGAATAGAACAAAAAGATATAGAAGTAGAAATGGGACTAAAAAAGTGGTGTTGGATGGGACACACCTACAGAAAGCCCAGCGTAAACATCACAGGACAGACGCTGCAGTGGAACCCACAGGGAGCACGAGGCAGGGGTAGGCCACAGGAAACATGGCGGAGATGTGTGAAAAGAGACACGAGAGAGATGAAGCTCACTTGAAACGAGCTGGGACAGATGGCCAAATACAGAGATAGATGGAATGAGCCTGTGTGTGGCTTATACCGTGCCAGGGGTGGAAGGCATTGATGATAATAAAATATCTTAGACTTGGTCCACTCCTCTGGATATTTGCCTGTGAAGAAAACTGAGTTGAAAAGAAATTTGAAAAAGTCAGCCAGGTCCTGGTACTCAAACTTGTAAAATTACAACTATTATGATCTAACACCATACCTCATGTAATAGATTATTTATATACATATAGAAGACATAGAAACGCATGACGTTGATTAATCTATTAGACATATCTTAATTTAATAAAAGTACCTGTAGGTAGAGGCGTTAGCAGAAGCCGTCTTGGATAGTATCAGCGACAAGATGGTGCTGAAGTTAGAGCCATGTTCGTGCGTGAAAGTACAGTTGATTATCAGCTGGTTGGTGAGTCCCTCATGAAACTGGTTGTGGGAGGTTTCTATGTCTACCCCATGGCTAGGTGTAGCAAGAGCTGAACTCGTAGAATCTGTTAGAGAAAAGCATACAGAAGATGTCAACGTGGAAGAGTGTTTACTTGTAAGGTGATGATGATGATGATGATGATGATGATGATGATGATGATGATGATGATGATGGTGCTGCTGCTGATGATGATGATAATGACGAGGATAATGAAGAGGATGGGGATGATGACGATGGTTTCTTTACTTACTTTACTTTACTTTTTCATCATCTTTGCCGTTTCTTTGACAGATCTCAAACTGTATGCACACGTCTGCTTAGAGGAACTGAACGGATGAATGAGGAAACGACGACCTTGGCTAAATGCTGTAAAATTCAAGACATCGGAAGGGGAAGCGCGTGGGTCAGCGTCACTGACACACTTGGGCAGTATACTCGAGTGGTAGCAACCTTAGGCAGAGAATGTCGAGAGCGGCTTGAGGGAGCAGCCAGTGCTGAGGTAGAGACGCTGACAGAGGAGACCAATATACAGGGCGACTTCACAGATGTTTCAGTACAGCGTTGAGTCAAATCTGGATGGGCTTTCAGAGCCCGTGTAAACGGGGTCATACAGAGAGAGCTGTCTGCTGCCACTAGTATAACCACGTCTAGAATGTGCATGGAGATGAAAGCGATCCCAGAAGCCCCTAACTGGATTAAGGCGATGGAGTTTCAGTCTGCCATCCTCGTCAACGACTCGATGAGTACCCTCGAAAAAGTGAAGACACACACGATGCATGCAGACTGCCGAGAGCAATACCTAGCAGCAGACTCACAAGGATTGTATGGACCGTTAGCCCTGGCCGTGCAGGATTTCAAGGCAATGAACGTGCAGATAAGCTGGCCGGTAATGCTGAGATTGGCGGCACTGTGCACTTAGATCCACCAACAGCCATGTCAGCATTGACAGAATGAATCAACGACTACAGAGAAAATGAAGGTACCACATCACACAATGGAAAGCTGGTGTCTCTAGAGGGTCGGGGAGAGACAGCAACCTGCGTGGAAAAACCAGAAGAATATCCAACCTGCTGAAAACTGGCACGATCAGCAAGCAGACCTTTTCATGGATCCTGAAGAGGAGGGAGAGGTAATAATAATACAAATAGATAGCATTTGTATAGCGCATATCCCCGCTCAACAGCAGGCTCTATGCGCTTTACACTATATTATTACCCCAGCAGACCATAGAACACTCCAAAACATTCTCAGCTTCCCGGGAAGCATACAGTGCAAGCAGCTGATTAAGCGCTCAAACACTAACAAACTGACAAGATCTTTCGCTGTCTATAGCCGGGTACCCATTCCCACCTGGGTGAAGTGAGGAAAATTCGTGTAAAGTGCCTTTCCCAAGGACACAACGCCAGGTCCCTGACGGGATTCGAACCCACAACCTTACGGTTGCGAGTCCGAGAGCCTAACCACTAGGCCACCGACGCCACGGTAGCTATGCCATTGTGCCTCCTGCAATAATGTCTATTCTACAACCATGTAAGGAAGTAGAAAGTAAGTTCTTTTTCATCCTCTTTTACCGTTAAACGTAGAGAGGAGATGCGATTTTCTATGCAGCTCTGCAGCTCTTTCTATTGGGATATTACATTTTATCAGGTTTTCCTTGACTCCCTCAATCCATATTTTGTGGTGGGTGGTTGGCGGGTGCTCTGGTGTGGTTTGCTCCTTCTTTCCTATCAACCATCTATCGTCCTTATCTCCCCTTTTTCTTTTTTTGTATGTTTGTTACTCTCTTGTGACACCTCTAATCTTCTGGCGCTCATATGACCTTATGCAGTTGCGAGCGCCGTAAAACCTCTACTAAAACGAAAAAATATTTTGTGTGGTTTACTTCTTATTTTACAGCCTGAGTGCTGGATATTTTAGGCTCTCGATGTTGGCTGGCGTAACAGGTGGCCAAACCATTATAGTTTCTGTTTTTTAAAATGAAATACAGACATGACTCAGTGCTAATAGCCGCTCTTACTTCTTTAGCTCTCTGATTGTCTTGTCTTATGATTGTAAGGGTTTTGCGGAGACATATTTTCATCTCGCATGCTGTGATTTTGCTTCCATGGGTTTTATTCAATATCTAGGTCTGGCTTGTATCATAATGTAAGTATAGATACTGAAGTGATATCCTGTCTCTTTATATCCTTGGGGGTGTTTGGATGAGATAGAAAGAGTGCAAGCTGATAGGAAATAGTGTTTGACATGGGTATTCTGGGGAATATGTTTTCGGCTCATGTTCATAACTTCTATTTTTGATGTGCTAATTTTCAAGCCAAATTCTTTCAAGTTGTTGTTCAGTCCGGTAGTGTGGTTTTGGAGGCTTTGTTGTTTTGGATGAATAAGAAAGTGGTTATCTGCGAATAGAAGTTCATTGACGCTTTCTGGTCTTTGGTTTACGTCTTTTGTTATTGTGTCCATAAAGATTATAAACAGGAGGGGGATAAAAACGTATCCCTGCCATACTCCATATTTTACTTTGAACCAGTCTGTATTGCATTCTTTTATTTTTACCTAGCTTTTACTTGTGGTCTAAATAACTGTATCATTGTGTAACAGTTGTCCTCTTACGCTGTACTATTAAAATGGTTTCCAGAGTTTTGTGTGGTTTACTATGTCGTAAGCTTTCTTCTAATCTACGGAGACGACACCGGATTCCTTGTCGTGTTCAACGGTTCGCTCGCATAGCTGTCGTAATGCGAATACAGTATATTATTATGTTTCACTTCTTCCCTTTCGGAATCCTAAACGAGCTTCGCTCAAGTTTTTCTCTAAGATAAGTCTTATCGGCTGTTTTAATACGTTCCTGTATGTTTTCCCTGCATGACGTAACACAGAAATGCCCTTGTACGTTGTGCGGTCGAGCTTGTTGCTTTTCTTTCTCCGTAATGGGTCACAAAAATAGCTCTCTGCCAGTCTTCTGGACATTTCCTTAGCTTCCAGACCCTATTGAAAATTCGCCCCATTCAGCGACAGTGCATTGGTGTTTCTGCAGGCTCTTATGGCTGCCAGTGTGACCTCAATCTGGTCCTGGGGATTTGTTCTTTGGGATGGTTTTGAGTGAAGTTTCAAGTTCTCTGGACAGTTTGAGTGGATCTGTTTGCTCTATATTATGCTGGTTGGAATTCTCCCAGCAAACAGGTTGAGGAGTTCCCATCTTCCCTTGTTTTTAAAAAAAAGTATCCTTCCTGACTTGTGCCGTTTCTTGAATAGCTTCTTTCACATTTTAATTGCTTATTTAGATTCTTATCTTGTTTTTGTTCTTGTTCTTGTTCTTCTTTTTCTTCTTCTTCTTCTTCTTCTTCTTCTTCTTCTTCTTCTTCTTCTTCTTCTTCTTCTTCTTCTTCTTCTTCTTCTTCTTCTTCTTCTTCTTCTTCTTCTTCTTCTTCTTCTTCTTCTTCTTCTTCTTCTTCTTCTTCTTCTTCTTCTTCTTCTTCTTCTTCTTCTTCTTCTTCTTCTTCTTCAGATCTTCTTCTTCTTCTTCTTCTTCTTCTTCTTCTTCTTCTTCTTCTTCTTCTTCTTCTTCTTCTTCTTCTTCTTCTTCTTCTTCTTCTTCTTCTTCTTCTTCTTCTTCTTCTTCTTCTTCTTCTTCTTCTTCTTCTTCTTCTTCTTCTTCTTCTTCTTCTTCTTCTTCTTCTTCTTCTTCTTCTTCTTCTTCTTCTTCTTCTTTTCCTTGGCATTGTTATCATCATCATTATTATTATTATTATTATTATTATTATTATTATTATTATCATTATTATTATTATTATTATTATTATCATTATCATCATTATTATTATTATTATTATTATTATTATTATTATTATTATTATTATTATTATTATTATTACTGTTACTATTATTATTATTATTATTATTATTATTATTATTATTATTATTATTATTATTATGGTTATTTTAGAGCAATTAAACTAATGGGTCATCTTACAAAAATATTGCTGCCAGTACTAATGGGAAGACTGAGAAAAAGTGTAAGACCAGGGATTTAAAAAACGCAATTTCGCTTTGTTCCTGACAAATGTTCCAGAAATGCTATATTTACATATTCACCATAACAATGTCAATGGAATGATGTAGTTCCAGGCGTTCGATAAAGTTAGACATGAGCTATTCAAAATAATGGAAAAGCTACACTTTGATGGAAAAGATCTAAGAATTATCAGGAATTTGTACTGGGACCAAAACGCTGCTGTACGAATTAAAGGAGAATACAGTGAATATAAGCAGAGTAGAAGAGGAGTGAGGAAAGGATGTGGTATGTCACCAGACCTCTTTAACAGGTACAGTGAAACAATCCTTAGAAACATAGAAGAATATCCAGGTCTCAAAGTAAACAGAAAAAATATTAATACCATCAGATATGCCGATTACACAGTTTTAATAGCAGACTAAAAAGAACCTTCAATCGCTTCTAGATACTGTTGTAATGTAAGATAGTACTTTATTATCCCACAGGGGAATTTTCCTTGGCTGTACAGGACCGTAAAAACACATGCAGGTATACATTAAAAAATTAAATTATATATATTACTCTCATTAAAATTCAATATGAAAGTAATCTCATTAGCAAAGGTGACAAGATAAAGCAGGTCCTACAGTTTTAATATCTAGGATAATGTGATACCATCTGATACCAAATTTTCCAAAGACATAAAATGGAGAATTACAATGGCTAAGGCTAGTTTCAATAAAGTGAGCCCAATCCTGAAAAATAGAAACATCTTAATGAACACCCAAATGACAGTTCTGGAATGCTATGTACGGGCAACCCTTCTATATTATGGCTGTGAATGTTGGACAATCACTAAAGACAGTGAAAACACAATAGAAGCAACAGAAATGTGTTTTATAGAAGACTGCTAAGAGTATCATGGAAGGAAAAGAAATCAAATGAGGTAGTGCTTGAAGAAGCTCACGTGGGGCGCTCACTGTTAAAAACAATCAGGAAACGATAAGTGCAGCTTTTAGGGACACCTGAATAGACATAAGGGTCTTGAACATCTAGCTCTCACTGACAACATTGAAGGCAAACGAGGCAGGGGTAGGCCAGATAAACCTACCTAGGGAACCAAAAGAAATGGGTAACGGTGAAAGATCAGGGAAACATAGCTTTCTAAGAGCATCCGAGCAAAGGAATTAAAGGAGAACCATGAGAGCCGATGTCTGTTGCAGATCCGGCAGAGGATGATGATGAGTTATAATTATTGTTATTATGAATATTATTATTATCATCATTATTATTATTATTATCATTATTATTATTATTATTATTATTATTATTATTATTATTATTATTATTGTTATTACTATTATTATTATTACTGTAATTATTATTAATGTTACTTTTATTATTATTATTGTTGTTGTTGTTGTTGTTGTTGTTGTTGTTGTTGTTAATAGTATTATTTCTATTGTTATTATTATTATTGTTATTATTATTATTATTATTGTTATTATTATTATTATTATTATTATTATTATTATCATTATTATTATTATTTTTATTATTGTTATTGTTATTATCATTATATTATATACAAAGTAACAAACTCACCAGCGACAGAGGCCGACAGTATCAAGACAAGAACAGGGAACATGTTGAACAACATCCTGAAGACAACAGATGTGTTTTGCCCTCTGCACGACCTGTCCTCGACGGACTGGCTTTATAAAGATAAGCCGGTGCGTAACCCTTTCATTGCTGAAACATATCAATCTACAATAAAAATTAAGTCTTTCTGCAGCCTTTCTACAGCTATTATCAGTGGCTGCTGCTTGCCACTGTCTTTCATCTACACCCAGTGGCGGTGGGTAGTGAAGGGCTTACGGGCTTGAGCCCCTCACCCCCACCCCCTTTGTTAGGCGCGTTCTATTTTCTGCAACAACACGACCCAATCCACCTCATAGACGTTGTGTGTTTGGAATGCTGTGTGTTTGTGCCGCTGAGATTTAACAGTTATTTATTACATCAAACCACTTTTAAGGCAACTTTTTCTTCAGATAAAAACTAATTAGAGAAATTTGGAGGTGAAACTGCTTCGTCCCCACCATCCAGAAGAGCTTAACTTTAAGAACCAAGAGATGGAAAAACAAAGGTAACTCTTCTCGTTTGAATGATTCTCAAAATGCCGTGGCTCGCCGTAAGTATAGAAAAATCATCACTGTTTTGTTCTTATTGCTTGCTTTTTGGTGGTAAAGAAGTGGAAGCAACCTAAGCCCCACCCAAATCTTGGTCCACCCACCGCCACTGTCTACACCACTGATCTGATGATTGGTAAGAAATTCTAATACCGAGCCTTCTCGGATAAGGGCAGAAAATCTCGAAAGACCTGTTTGCAAGTTGCGCTAGTCAAAGATCCCCTGATGCTCTTAAAATAGATAAGAGTAGGCTTTGGCTGCCTCCCAGGCAAAATGTTAAATTCCTACCAAACTGAACATTTTTTTTTCAATCTAATTTTTTACGGCGTTTGCAACTGCATAGGGTCATATGAGAGCGCAGGACACAATACACATTTTCAGTTTATGTCGAGTGAATGTTTAGTTCAGGTTTTGGTATGTTTAAACAGCTTGCAGGCGATATAGATGTTGCAGAGATTCAACGTTTCTTAGACAACGGCTTCCGTCAGAATCTATTTGGTTCTGATGCGGCTGGCTGTTTCACAGAATTTCTCAGCCTCTTTCCTCACTCACCCTCCTCCCTTACTCCCTTCATACTCATCATCCCTCCTCAATCTCCTCTCTCCTTTCTTATCCTCCTTCCTAACTCACTCCATACCCATCCTTCCCCGATACTCACCCTCCCTGCATACTCACCCTCCCTCCTTACTCACCCTCCTTTCGTACTCACCCTTTTTCCTTATTCAGCCTCCCTCCTCACTCATCCTCACCCTCCTTCCATACTCATGTCCCTCCCTACTCTTCCTCCTTCCTTTCTAAGTCTTTCTCCCATCTCAGTTTGTAGATAGTGTGAACGCAGTTTTAGACTCCAATGGGTGAAAGAACTAAAAACAAGTTCCTGTTATGAAATGCAAATGGTAATATGTTGTTTGTTTGGGTTTTTTCACTTTTTGAGTGTTCTTTGTTCTTTTTTTATCAAGGTTCGTAATGATTACAGAATGTAGATTACTTAGATAGTTTTTTGGCGAGAGCGTAATCAGCAAAACATTTTTTATTAACCTTTCGTGGCAATCATGTACAACGAAAGTTAAGTTCTCCGTAAGTATATTATAGACTAGCTGGTGGGCAGCTTTAAGCTACGGCAGACGCAACGAAATAGAAGTTTCTGATATGTAATAAGAGATATAGAAGTTTCTTTTTTTAAAGTTGTTGATGCTTACAGAATGTTTCTTGATAGAGTGTTATCAGTACATTTTGTTCTTGAACTTTAGTATTGACGTTAACGACTGCCAGGTATACTGAACTTTTTTTCAACTTTCAGAAATGGCCCAAAGAATAATGTGATGACATTCTTCCGTATAGCAGGCGCCATTTTGGCTCGACTAGTGTCAAGCTGATCTATGATGCGGATGACCCAGGTCAAATCCTTTGTATACTTATTCTTTTCCTATTGTTGTCAGTGGCGTAACGGTTATGCGTTTCGCCTTTGAAGGCAGGAGACTCGAATTCTATGCCGGAGTAGGTAGACATTTTCATTGAGCTTCCCGGTCTTTCTTTTGTGATGCTGTATTCTTAACCTCTCAAACCGGGTTGCCCTGACTGGCAGAGAGGAGTCCCGTCTACTAGATGATTTAATATATATATATATATATTATATGTTTTTGAGTAAGTGTTTGACGACGCTCGCAAATGCATAAGGTCATTTGAGCGCGCAGGACACACCAAACTTTTTCAATTGGTAGGAAAATTTGAAGTTTGCCCCTCTGGGGGTCGAAACTTACTCTTTACGATTTTAGACCATCAAGGGATTTTTAACGTGCGCAATTTGCACACGGTACCTCCAAGGTTTTTAGTTCGTGTCCGAGAAGGCTAGGTGTAGGTCTTACCTACCATAAAACCAGAGGTGTGTCTGAAAGACAACAATATGACAGAGCAGTAGAAAGACTACATAAAGTGTTAGGAACCTAGAGGAGGGGGCAAAGGAGGTGAGGGGATGGGGGCATAAAGAGGAGACGAAAGCAGACAACAGAGCAATATTAAAGAGCGGGAAAGGATGTGCAAGGAGACAATTTTAGAGAGGAAATGTTCCCTCCCTATCCTGATTCGAACCCGGGGCCGTTGAATGAGAGACGAACACCTCTCGACCATGGGAGCAAAGGCGAAGCGTCTATATAATCAAATAATCACGCTTCCCTTCTCAATTTTGAAACATTGTGGCAGTCAAATTCACCCATAGACGTAAACCTCATAAATTAAATGTAAAAAGACGGTCTTAATCGCCAATGAACAATAAACTATGCCTAACCTTCAAAACCGTTTCATTGCCACAGAAATAGCCTGTTCGCTCCTATCGGGCCACTCCATAAGCAGTCACAAGCTTTGATTAAGTAAGCTTAAAGTGAGGCTGGAAGAGTCTACCAATAGAGTTGAAGGGAACATGTGCATAGCAGTCAAAACTGTTTCATTGCCACATATACCCTGTTCACCCCTTTTGAGCCACAGTTATAAGCAGCCACACGCGCTGATTATGTAAGCTAACTATAACACTGGTCGAGTCAACCTCACAGATGTGAGGGGAAATAACTCCTAATGATAATATCATGATCTCTACGAGTTCTTGTTTTTTTTCCTCGACTTTTTAACGTCCTATAATCAGATCGTTACCTTGAATATGACACCGGCTCCTGGTCGCGAAAAGGTAGACAAAAACAGCCAAATGTGAAATAAAAAATGAATAATTGGCATGCTCCACCAAAGTGTTTAGACTGTCTGGTATAATATGCCATTGTAGTACTGACATCTCTGCTTCTTTACTTGATGTTCGTGTATTCAAATCTAAAGTTAAATGTAAGGTTAGTTAGAATAAATATTTAATGAAATACATTCCCGATTATTTTAGCGGTTGAATATGCATACAACATGAATTCAGGATTTGTTTTCATTCACAACTCAGAGTTGCCGTCTCCAGTAAGATTTTTGTGACTTGTGTGAGTGTGATATCTCCATGACCTATCTGGTCCCATCTCACTTTGATTACCCTGTTAAACAAGTAGGCCTTCGCCCCTGCACGAGAGTCCCCTCCTGGATGATCAATTAAACGTGTATCGATGGAGGCGTAAAAATATTTACTTTAAATACTGGGGATTTTGTTTTAAGGGTCAGGATTTTTACCGAGAATTCAAAATGCAAACAGATCAGAGCAATTGCAATAACGAAATGTTGCATGAACGTAATGTTGCCATAAGTCTGTAGAAGTTGGCTAAGGCAAAACAATGATTGCTTTACAATGTACTTTACTTTACGTCCTTTGTTAAGCGTGTGGCGTCTGTGACAGTGTGCTATGTTATCCCAGGACCCTTTTCACCCAATCCATCAAGGTTTTTCTTGGTCTTTCTCTTGATTTGAAGCCAGATTCACGGGGTGTGATAAGCTTTTGCTGCTGTTACTTTGTCGGGCATTCTGGTTAGTTGTCAGAACCATTTGTGAGGCAGCGTGGTGGAATCATCAGGCTCTCGTCAAAATAATCAGATGTGAAGAAACTTGCATTTTCCCGCAGGTTTGTGAATTGTTATCCAATTTCTTTTTTGGCTCAACACCTTTCATGCCCATTAAAGAACTGATTTCTGTGTGGATATTCTTTAAAACATTTCTTAAAGGCACAAAAAATGTAAATTTTCAGTTACGACAGACTCTTAAGCTAAGGAAATAACTAATCTCTGGCGGCCATTTTCTCGGTAATGTTACCTCTGAAAACAGGTGACCCCCACCTCCTATATTTGCAAATATCTCGGCTTGTATTCAAGATAAATGGATATTTTTTCTCATCCAAATAAAGACAAGTACACAAGCTTGTAGATGATAGCAAAAACTCTACATGCCCAAAAATTGACGAGAGCCTGATTCCATCATGCTGCTTCACATTTGATTCTTTGACGATCAATGACTTGTTGTGTTCCTGTTAGTAGACAAATAGTCTCGTTCCTAATGCGGTCTCATCAGGTGACATTGATAGTTTTGCGAAGACACCTCGTTTGGCACACATTGACTTTTCTTTCTTGTGCTTTATTTAAGGACCATTTTTGGCTCTGGTATGTTTGAGTTGGTAATAAGATACAATTGTGATGCAGCGTGGTGGAATCAGGCTCTCGTCAATTTTTGGGTATGTTGAGTTATTGGTAACGTCTTAAAGCATGTTCACTTGTCTTTATTTTGATGGAAAAAAGTATCCATTTATCTTGAATACAAGTCGAGATATTTGCGAATGAAGACGGTGGGGGTCACCTGTTTTCAGAGGTAAAATTGTTGACAAAATGGCCGCCAAAGAGTCGTTATTTCCTTAACTTTAGAATCAGTGGTAACTGAAAATTTACATTTTTTTAGCCTTTAATAGACGTTTGTCAGAAAAATGCACACAGAAATGAGTTCTTTAATGGGCATGAAAGGTGTTGAGCCTAAAAAGAGAAATTGGATAAAATTCACTAACTGCGGAAAAATGCAAGTTTCTTCACTTTGATTATTTTG